AAAAGGGGGGGGGGGGGGGGGGGGGGGGACACAGCATTGTACTTAATATGTCCAAAGAAGCCTGATTTTCATACAAGCATGTGATTTCTTGCTCTGCTTTTATTTATTTTTATTTATTTATTTATTGTATTTATATAGCTGCCCATCTCATACATTTTCAGCCTGGTTTCTAGATTAAAAATTAAAATAATAGCAATATGTGATTTGTGATTGCAAACTGGATTGGTTCCTCAAAGATGAAAAAAATTGAAACATCCTGGGGAAGGGGGCATGGTTATTTATCTCTCTCCTAGCCAAGCACAACTTTTTGGAAAACCCCACTTTTTCCTGAGTAGCATGCCATGGGCCATATTCTAAAGATTAATGGAGAGCAGAACAAAAATTAAATCTGATTTTGTTCAATTAACCTTAAACGTTAAACTGATCCATGATTAGTTTTTAAGTGGGTGATGATGATGCTTCACTCAAGGCTTTCAGAGATTCCATGTGTCCCTGAAAAATTTTTTTTTTTTTTTTTTTTAACATGTGGTATCAGAGGGACATGACTGGAGATAATGAAAGACAAAAGACATCCAAGTGATACTCAAGTCATCATGATGCAAATTTCCCCAACCAAGAGCTCCCAGATATATTGGATTGCAACTCTTTTCATTTCAATGCTGGCTATAGTAAGGACATTTAGAGTTATCAGGTTGGGGAAGGATGACTTAGACCTTAAAAGAAGGTGCTGAATTGGAAACTTTGAAATGGCAGTCTCTTCATTTCTGAGATTACCTATCCTAATCCAGGTTTGAATTAGTATTGGAATTTGAGTACTTGACATTCCTCCTAAACTACTTCACCCTTGCCTAATTCTGACATATAATTTATGCTAACCAAAACTGATTTTGTACTGTTGCTTTTTAGTTAGGTCATTCAGTATTACTCAGAGTTTTTGTTTCTTTGTTCTTATTGCAGCTCAGGAGCATGCCTTACAAGTCCAGATTGAAAGTCACATGCAACAAAGGAAACTTCCTCAGATTCCTGCTTATTCTGACTCTAATCCACCAGCTCAGAAAAGCAGGTTGCCACCACCTTGTTCAGAACTGCAACAACAGAATGGTCCCCTCCCGCCCAAATCATGCCCTCATCCGAAACCACCCCGCCGCATGAAAGAAAGACCTTAGGTGTTGCTGTTTTGCACACTTACTACAGAGGAAATGCTCACACTCCCCATATTTGTATTGTGATTTCTGTGAAGTCACTGTGCTGCAGTACAGAGCCAGCCAATTCTAAGAAGGCTTAAAGTGTGGCTCTTGGCAAACAGATTAGTTAAGAGACAAAACTAGAAAACCAGAAGTTTCAGAATGACTTATCCTGCGTACAAAGCCATATAGGACTTCAAGACTAGAGAGGCCTTGGCTGATTCTAATGATAGTATGACTGCCATTTCCTTGAAGCAATTTAAACATTTTCTTGTATGCCTATTGTTTTATATTTCATTCCTAATCATTTTGATACAAGTTAAAGGTTTTGCACTATAGTTTTGTGGTTTTTTATATTTTTGTAATACATACCCACAGAGAATTATATTTAAAGCAATAAAGAGAAGAAGATTGAGCAGGCATAACATGAGAATTGATATATTTTTTTTCAATACTGAGGAAAGTCTACTAGAATCTACTTTGGACTTTTCTTATATAGAACATGCCATGTGTGAAGAATGTGGGTATTGATTGTTACAAATATTTGTGCTGTTTAAAAGAAATAGATACAACAGATTGTATCTATTTCTCAGGAGGAGGTAGAAACATTGATGTTTGTGGAGGAATGTGAACAAAAAAAAAAAAATGGTCTGCTTCTTCATTACAAAAATAAAATGATTGTGCATCTATATTCCCACTTCCAGGGCGCTCACATGGAGCAACTTGGAAGTTCAGCTCCAGCTTAGAGTTATATCTAAACCTAGAAAATCTACAATTAAATTTAGTTATAATTACCAAAAAACCAGTTTCAAACTGCAGATAAAGAAGCTGGTTGTTTTTAATTAGCATAAATAATATTATCCATGATTCGTGTTTTATATTTTACATGAAATTGTGGTCAATCAAAAATAGAAATGAAGGTTTCCAATCACTTTACAGCCACACAGGAGTACAGGCAGGAGAAACAAGCAAGTGCAAGCCTCACAGTCTTACTTTTTGTTACACTAAACTGTAGCTTAACACCGATACAGAAATGGTGGTTCATGAAAACCATTTCTGAAGTCAGCAGGGGTGCTCTTCATCTCTGCCTTTCCCAAGAGTTTGGGGAGGGGTGGATAATACCAAGCCCTTTATCAGGAAATCCTTGGGATGCCAGGCAGTATGTTTGGCCATGGGAACCCTGTGATCTGAAGCATGATGGATAGGGAACAGGAGACAAGCCACTTGTGCAAGTGTCACTTTGCATGAAATTAATGGTGGGAATGGAAGCTCCTGCTCCTATTCTTTGCTCTTACTGTGAGCTTTTCCTTGATTTATGTATTTTACTTTTTGTATCTGTCTTCTAGAGCTGTTCAGTCAAAAGCATCTTCAGTTAGAATCCGAGAAAGAGCAGAATAAAAATAAAATAGTAATAAGAAAAACGTGGAACTAGAGACAACTGCAAAATATATTTATTTAAAATATTCCATTCCTGTTTTTCAACTTAAAAAGCATTCAGGGTAGACAATCATATACTCTAAAAGAGAATTAAAAATGCAGCTAATATTAAACAAACAATACCAGTTTATCAGAAAGGTGAAAAAGGATGCATTTTTGCAAAGTCTGTAAGCTTCTTGGCCACAAGGAGCAAAACCTTTGCTGTAAACGTTCACAACATTTTTCACAGGAAACTATTGAACTTCCTTGTGGCCTGTGGTTCAGTGTTTCTCCCACATGTGACCTAGCTGAGATACATCAGTATTTGAAAAGCCTTGCCAAGACACAGAGGAAAGAAAATGGGCACTCAACATTTTAAAATCCAGTGGTCTCTTTTCTACTTCCATCACATACATGGAATGCTGGAATGTAAAGCGTGCCAGTATCACAATGAAATGATTGTCAAAACTTCTCTCCAATTTCCAGCAAGTCTTAAAATGGTAAAAGTAGAGAATGGGGGGGGGGGGGCAGGTGGAGGAAGTGGAAAGAGAAAAGGGGAGAACAAAGGTAGTTAAGCCAATCCTGTGCATGTTTATTCAGAAATTAAGTTGCATCATTTTAAATATAACTTATTCTCTAGTCCAGCATTTCTCAACCTCGGAAACTTCAAGATGTGTGGATTTCAACTTCCAGAATTGAAGTCCACACATCTTAAAATTGCTGAGATTGAGAAACTCTACCCTAGTCAATATTTATGGGATTAAAACTTAACCTAGGACAAAGATGGTCACCACAACTCCAGAGCCAAATGCAGTTTCTTGTGTGGCTCCCAGAGACCAATGCAACCAAAAATGATAGTGCAATTTCCCAATATTTTGAGGAAGAAAGCACATAAAATATATTGGATGCTCTAAAATAATCATGCCACACTCAAAATACAACACCTCAAAAACCTTTGGAAATCTCAGAAAATCCCAGCCCTTGCCTGCTCTGCCTCACAGATTCTCCTTCCAATCTTTGCTCACTAAGAATGGGTGTGGTTGCTCCTCCTTGATCTGTGTGCTTGCCTGCCCGTGCATTTAGTCTGCTCTCAGTGGAGGTAGCTAGGCTGTAAAGAAAAGTAAACACATATATGGTGAAATTATATAAATAACGAAATGCAAAGCCAATAGATACTTACTGTAAAATGATAGGCTCATTTTTTAAATGAAGTTATGATATATACAACCTATCCTTCTAATGCATATATATCATTCACATGAAATATATGCAATAAAACAAAAATAAAAAGAGATTTCTGCTTGTTCATTTTCATTCACCACCTGCAAGAAGCTGAGAATCACATGGGCATTTTTGCTCTGTTTTGGAGGAAGGGAGTAAATTGGTTTATCAGCCTTAGCTGTTTTTTGGCAGAAAAATTATCAAGATGCATCTCTGCAAAGCAGATTGTTTTAAAGTTGTTAGCACTTCTTGTATACTTGCTGAATGGATTTTATAACTTGTTCATTGGCACACATTGTACATTTTTTTCTTGCTTTGTTTTGTGCTGTCCAGCTGTCTACTAGGTTCTAATTTTTCTGCATTCTTGGTCATAATTCAAGGAATAATTTTATCCAGGGGGGAGTTTAGGCTAAGAGCCACTAGCTTAGGGGGTTGCTGCCCCTCCCTTGGCCTAAGGGTGTCATATACTATTGGTTCTATTTGTGTAAAATTAAGAAAAAATCTAAATCAAATATTCAGTTTTCCAATGGCCATCTTGTGGTTCAAGGAATTTCCAGTTTGGGGTCTTTAGAACCTCCACATAAAGTATCTGGGGAATATGGGCAGCATATAAATTTAATAATAAATAAATAAATAAATAAATAAATATGCACCAGTTCAAAAGCTGCTTCAGACCTCTATAATTTCCCAGCACTCACAGTTTGAGAACTGATCTGATCTATTTTTGAGTCTGTTGGAGCATATTTGAAGCTGCAACAAAATTAGCATTTATCCTGCAGCACTTTGCTCCATAGATCTTATGGCAGTCCACTTTCACCATTAGTGGAAATTCTCACTTCATTCCATTATCTAGCTCCTAAATTCAATCCATTGATTACATCCTCCCCCAAAGGTTTAGTTTAGACCCAAGTAGCAGCTGTCTGCTTCCCTGCTGAAAAGGGAAGCAGAACACCAATTTTACCACTTCCTGTTTTGTCTGCGCTACTTTTCACCATGGGAAAAGTTACACGTTTCTAAATAAAAATAAAAACAGCCCAGATCAATCTCAGTCACATTCTCCCACTGCTGCCACCATAGCAACAAGGTACCATAGTTAGGGCAATTGTTAGAAGTGGCTGGTTGCTACAGGCCTAACTAGTCTCTGTGGTTTTATAGAGAAATAGAATAAACGGTCCTGTATAGGCATGTTCCCCTCATATCAACTTCTCAGTATTTATAGCAAACAATTAAGACAAAAGGACACAACCTATTCTGAAAAGATGGAGAATGGTAGCAATTTTTTAAAATTTCTGTTTTGAGTGGGGTGGTGTCTATTCAGAGGTACTGACTGAATGCCAGATTTTGTACTTACTGTTGGTCAGCTGGATGGAGCACTAATTTGTTTACAGTTGCCTAATTTCAGCAAGTTAGCAGATGTAAATATGATTAGGATTTGGCTTCAACCTGCTTTGAAGGATTTAGAAGGACAAATGGTGCTGGTATGGAAGTGTCCTTAAAGAAAAGAAACAGTGACTAAACTAACAAAAATGTAGGGGATCAAGCAGCCTAACCAATTCAGATGATTGGTCTTCTAGTCCATTTATGAATATCTAACATTTGTACACAACATATTTCAAGCAAACATATCTTTCGCATGCAAAATATTAATATAACAATAACCCAGCATTTTCCATTAGTGAAATTAAACATAACTCCACTACACAGATGGTCAGTTTATAATCCGCCTTCTTCAACTGGCCCTTTTGAGATGTCCTCAAAAGACTACTTGCACTAGTAATAATGCTGAGTTACAAGTAGTGTCTCCGACAATGAAGGATTTTCTGTACAGATGAACAGTCAAAAGGAATTAAATGGAACTGAAAGTACAAGCTCAAAGAAACATCTAAACCAACTAGATTAGGGCTAGAGAATATCAAAGTTTCCAGATGTTGCTGAAGTACAACTCCTAGCATGACTAATAGGGAGAGACACTGGAAGATATAATTTAACATTATCTCCTAACTTATATTGGAGGGATATGCATGCCCCCATCCCCACCCCTATTGCCTGCTGTTTCCTTAAGGATGTGTTGATGAAAAAGCCTGGCAGAGCATCTGAATGGCTTGCTTAGTCTGGAAATGGGTTGAGTTGGTGAAAATTGAATGCACATAGAATATTATATGAGAGCAGAAGTCACAAGATTTCTACAAACCTTTCTTGTTTCTGATATTCTCTTATATGCACACATGCACACATGCACACAAACTCACACACTATATATAAATTATAAATTTTTATAATAGTAAAATCTAATACAAACTAAACTTAAAGAGAAGAAAAAGAATAAAAGGTACAAGGAAAAAGAAAAAAATAAATGAAAGAGAGAAGAAAGAAAAAAAAAGGAATATAATAAAGAGAAAAGCAATATATAAAGAAGTGACTTTCAACCTTCATCACAACTATAAGCAAACATACTTTATACAATGATCTCTTCATCCCATATCCTATCTCTTATCTATAGATGAATCCATAAAACATCATCTTTTCAGTCCTGGTATCAGCAGGAAGTCCATAAAGGGTTGCCAGAAGTAATAACATATCTTGTTTTAACCTTGATCAAATAAACCAACTTTATATTCTTTTCTTTTACTTCTAACAGTCTTAATCTTTAGTTCATTCAAATATTGTCATAGGATTCAATTTCTTTTCATTTCTTCTTTGTCCCATCACACAGGGTTCTTCAAGGCTTTAACAAACCTCTTTTGTAAATCCAACAGCAATTTCCCATCTTCTTATCCG